TTTTCTGAGTTGGAAAAAGTACGGAGAAGGGCAACAAAAATGATCACAGGCTGGAGCAGCTCCCGTATCAGGAGCAACTACAACAGCTGGGACTGTTCAGCTTAGAAGAAATTTGAATAAGAGGAGACATAACTGAGGTGTTTAAAATTATTCATGGTGTGGAAAGAAAGACATTTTTCTTTCTCTCCTACAACACTAGAACCCAGGGCCATCCCATGAAGGTAATTGATGGAAGGTTTGGGAACAGATAACAGGAGGTACTACTACTAATAACATATAGTTAAAACATAGAATTCACTGCCATGGGAGGTGGTGATGTGCACCAATTTGGGTGGCTTTAAAATGCGATTGGGCAAATTCATGGAGAAGGATGTTATCAGTGGCTTGTTGACTATGGGCTGCTTCAACAAAGGCAGCCTGCCTGCATACAGCAGTTGCTCAGGGGCTTGGACCAGCAGAGCTCTTGTATCCTGTTAAGGGATCCTGTGTACTGCTGGTTTGCCACCATGTGAACTGAGTTCTGGACTAGACAGACCAGCCTTCCTCAACCTGGTGGCCTTCAGGAGCATTTGGACCACAACTCCCAGAATTCCCTTCCAGCAGGGCCATTGACTGGGAATTCTGGGTGTTGTAGTCCAAATGTGCCTGGAAGGCACAGTATTGGGTTAGGCTGAGATAGACAATTAGCCATCTAGCATGGCTTTTCTTACATTCTTATGAAATAAAGCATATAAGGCAAAAAAATCTAGCAAATCTTCCAACTGCTAGCTGTACGTTGCATCCTATGTACACTTACTAGAGGACAAGCCTTATTTAACTGCCTCCTATAATGCCTGTGTAACTAGCCTGCTTAATGCCATGTTCAAAGTACATGGACAAATGCAGTTTAAAATGGCAGAAACAGTAAGCTAAATGAAGGTAGTTGGAGGAATATATGAACAAAGTAGACACAACACAATTGCAGATCTGACATAACTGACACATGATTTAACATTTCTCATGATTTATATAAAACAGTTTACTTCCAAAAATAAGAGGAAGGCTTTTACTCTGGACGGGTTCTCCACTGGCAGAAGGCAGAACTGAAATCATCTGAAGTTCTCTAAGAGTAGTAGTTGGAAAGCAAAACTGGGGGGAAATATTAACTGAAGTATAAGTCCAGTATCAGAAACAGCATGTTTATGTAGACTAATTGCAGGGGAACATTGCAGGAGGGTGCTATTGCACTCATGCCCTTTTTCTAGGTTTGCTGTGAGCAGCTGGCTTGCCACTGTATGAACAGAATGTTGAACTAGTTGAAACCTTGGTCATATTGAACATGGCTTTCATATTCTTACATCTTTCTACCATGCAATATACATAAGGCTAGCACACTACCTCCCATCTCCCATCCAATGAAGAAGAATTCAGAAGGTTTTGCTTCTGCTTCTAGTTAACTCTGACTTCTCACATTGTTCAAACTGGATTCTTAGTTAATTTCAACAATCCATCTTCAGAAACAATGGTTAGAATTTGGCTTGTTGAAATTAATTATGGCTAGTGTGAATCACAGTTTGTTATGCCAGGTGGCATAACAAACCACAGTTAGCAAAAGCTTTCAGACTTATTTTCCTGGCTGCGAAAGAAAGGCTGGTAGGAGTGTGTGAGCTTGACTCTCACTGTAGCTCATACATACTGCATGAAACCATGGTTTAGCATAATGCACAAATGTGACTTCTGTGAAAGAAGACACTTGCACAGAAGACGCTCTCCTGAAAAGACTGTGCTGAAAAGTCTAAAGAACCCTGCAGATGTAGCTCTTCCTCACCATACTTTTAGAGGAATACTAACAATAATTTTGTCTGACTTCCTTTTTCAGGTCTTAAAGGTTTATAGACAAATGAAAGCCCTGTCAAATGGCCCATTTAAGAGAGTTTGTAAGATCAAAATCCAAACTTTGTGAGTCCAAAGCAAACATTTTTAAAGAAGCTGTAGATAATCAGGACAAACATCTTATCAGGTCATAGCTTGTTTTGATGTCTGAGGAAAGATGGCTACCAAGGCCATCTATGTATGTATGAGAATAATAGTTTTCATAATAAAAGCTCTTCTGCCTATACTTCATTTATATCAGAAATGTCAGCTCTTCACAAAGACAACTTCAAAATAGGGTCTCTACTTTTAGACTTAATTTGCTCAGCATGTTTGGAAAACATGGGTGTGAAATCGTAGGTTTCTGAACTCTCCTGTGGAATATTTGCGTCTGTTAAAAATATCAGAAAAGTAAGGCAGATGTGGGTACTGTTGGTTCCCTCTGGCTTCTTCTGAAGCAGGACAGACTACTTTTAGTCTGGGGTTGGTTTGCCCCCATCTCAAAGCCCTGCCCCCTTTTCTGATGTCATCTGGCCTGGTCTGCTTTTGTCCATGTGGAGGGTGAGTCATAAAGTCTCATGTTCCTGTTTGCATCCTTCTGGGATCCTTCTGGGGCTTACAGACTCTCCTTTCTGCAGTGCTTGCATTCTGATTATGGCATGAGTGTTATGGAAAAGGACTTATCCAGGACCTGCAGGACATGGTTCTGCCAACTTGAGTCAAGGTGTGCTTCTCCTTACTATACTGCTTGCATTCCATTTGGGGAGTAATTGACTGGGAAGCGAAATGTCTCTGGCTGAACTTGGTGATAGAAACAGGCTGGCACTAGTGGAAGGTACTGTGATTAGCCCTGAGGCTGCTGAGATGTCGCTGATGCAGACACGTTGCATTTCAGAACAAAGACTGGTCAGTACTCTCAAAGAGGACACTTCAAGGAGAAAAAAGTGCTGCAATAACATTGAGTAGGGAATGGGAGTAGCAGAAGATGCTTTCCCCTACTTATGCCTCTATTTTCTATGCTATTGGATGGAACAGAGGTTTTGGGCTGGTACACGTTCAAGTGTGTACCTGTGCTATGGGTGGCTAGACATTCCTAACAAAAACATCGTGGATAGTTTTTATAGTTAGGAAAAATCACTTTTGTAAAGTGATTCTTGAGAAGAGGCCAATTGATGGGTATTTTGTGATTAACCACTGAAATAAAATGAATGTTGTGCTATCATTTTTCCATACTTACAAATAAAATGATCAGTTAAAACCAAGAAAGCTATCACTGCTCAACTAGAAAAGAGAATTTTGATGAATTTTGATTCTTCAGAATGCCTGTATGATCACTTCAAGAATACTTAGTCATTCATGATATAAATGGGAATACACTTTTGTGGACTTGGGTGTTCCTAGTGATCCATTTGTTTTGTTATTGATATTTCAAAGGAGAGAAAACTCCACTACAGGCCAAAGAGTGAAGCAGCAAAGATCATGATCAAACTTAGCATCAGAAGAATTGCTGAATGACTAGAGAATCTTCAATAAAATGGCAGATAACATATAGTATTATGAAGCATAGATTGAGCTACTCTAGAAGAAATGAACAAAATCCTGGCTGGAACATTGACATTCAAGGCAACAGTGTCTTTTCAATACTTTTTTGAGGCCAGGTGGTAAATTCATAGCTTTGGTTCTTCATGAGGTTGGTTTTCAAAGCTGTCCATTGCCACTCAAGCCAACCTTGCAATCCACATGGCTCTTTATTTCTTCACTATATTATGTCTGTGAAAAGGCAAACAACATTTGTGCTCATTAGGAAGCGTATTTAAGCTAATAACTTTAAATAATAGAAGTGTTGCAAGTGGATTGTGTGTTCTCACTTCACACAACCTGGGAAAGGTATGAAAAGGGGAGCAAATGCTTACTAGGCTTTGGTAAATTAGCAGATAAAGATCAGGCATTTAGGAATGGCATGGCTTGAGGCATATGATAAAGAGAACATCTTTAGAATTAGTAAAAATGGTCTTGCAAGCTCACAAGGCATCATTTGCATGGTAGTCTTAAAATGAGTAAGAAGCTTCTCCAGGCAGCACAGGCTTTTAAAATAGTTCTTTCTTTTTTTCCAAGCCAGAGATGTGCAACACAAGTATATATAGGCTTGTGTGTCAATAACTTCTGAGATGTATTAACAAGGTTAATGTGTCTTTCAAAACATCTCTATCCTAACTTGCTAACCAAAATCTTGTCGGGGAACCAAATGTAACATCTTAAACAGAAAGCAAAATGAACTGAGTGACTCTAATTTGAGGGGAAGGCATGCCCGTTTCCCCCCATTTTGTCTGTGATTTCTTCTGTACCATATATCTTAAGAAATACATGAAGAAAAGGCAGACATTTAGTGATCTTCATCGACGTTGATCTTGTTTCTCCTGCTCAGTCTTTTTATATAGTTGTGTGAGGTCTGCACAGTATAGTTCCATAATAGCAGATGCCTTGTTCTCAAATGTGCTACTGGCATTATGTGGGACGCAAATAAAAAGAGCATGTATTAGTAAGAACCTGGCTCTTCTGGTATCATAAAAAAGCCTCAGGTGTTGGCATTCTGCAACCTAGAAGCTGTGTGTAATCAAACTGATACACAGACTCAGATAAACAGTATCTACTCTCTTGAAAATTTAGGGTGAAATAACCATAATTCTTGGCACACAGAAATGGAATCTTAACAGTTATCACGTGATATATGACTGTATAACATTTACAATATACCTGAATTTTCTTAAAGAGTTTGCCATTTAGAAACTGACAGTGCTTTCTATTTGCTTGTGAGTTTCCCATGGGCAGCTAGTTGGTCACTGTGTGAACAGAATGCTGGATGAGAAGGACCCTTGGTCTTACCCTACATGGCTCCTCTTAAGTTCGTATGCTTTTAAAGAAGAAGTATAATTACTTTGCTTCTTCATCTTTGTAAGTTCCCCTCAGGCAAAATAGTAGTTCTGTGTTACTGTTGTGGATAAGACTAATAGGAATTGTCCTTCTGCTTAAAAATACAATGAATCTTAGGAATCCTCAGGAATCTTAGGCTTATGGGATATTTTAGTGAAGAGAAAGTAGCAGGTCAATTAAATGCATAAATATCAAATACCAAACTGATTTTTTTTCAGGCAATATGCCGGCTCCTGAGCAGACCCCTTTGGAAGAAGGGCTACAACAGACCACCCAGGAATCTTCCACAAGTCCAGGCATGGAGACAGAGGCTACTGCCACTACTATTCTTGCTTCTGTAAAAGAACAGGTATTTATTTTTAGAAAAACTTTGACGCATATCTGAAGCTTTGTGTTTAGATTGGCATTTTCTTAGTGCCCCACAAACTGAGGAATGTTCTCCCTTCAGTGGTGCATCTGGCACCTACTTTGTTGACATTTAGAACAGGGAAATACTATTTGAGTCTCCCAGGTGTTTTAAACTAAATTCAAACTTTTAAATCATTGGTTGTATTGCTTTTGTTGTCTATGTCACCCTGAAAGCTTTGGCTATGAATTATGGTGATAATGGCAATTTCTCAAGCCAAGAGATACATGCTCAGTACCAATACTAAGCAGTTAAGGGTGTCTTTCAGTCATTCTGGATATAATATTGCCTGATTCACAGATTGAGCAACATTTGTTCAACTGCCTTCACTTTGATGTATTTTATGACCATGCTGCTAGATGGGCGTTTCAGGTTCAAATTTCTACTAAGATTTGAGGCTTTCTGGACAACCTTGAACAAAGCTCTCAGCCTAACTGAAACTATTTCATAAGATTCTTGTAGTGATAGGTAATTGTAAAATACTCTGCTAATCATTTTTTTTTTTTTTTGCAAAAATGGTTTAATAAGAGGCTTGAGTGCTAATTGACAAGTTGTGACCAAAAATGGAAAGAAAGATGCTCTTTCTTTTCAGAGCTGCAGGTATATTCATAGACATAGACTTCATTGTGAGGTCTCATTTGGTACTTGGTCGCTGATGTTCAAAAAAGGAGGTCAATGGTGCAAGGAATGACACCTGTTTGGCTGTGGTGAAGCAGAACTTTTTGCTATGAAAACATATCTGTAGCATTGGGGATAGGGTTTTTGATAACCAGGGAGAACTAAGGTTGGAACCTAGGGTAAAATATTCTGAACTTAATTTCCTAGGCTTTCTGAAAACTAAAAATCCTAAGCAGTTTCAAAACAGTTATTTAAAGGATAGTGATTTTTTGTGATCCACTGGTATCAAGAGTATAGTGCATATTCCTGCCCAAGTTCATTAGTAGCCTCCCACCTAATGAAAGTGAAACTTCACCACATGAGGCAGATCTCACTGCACGAGCGGAAAAAGACTTCCACTCATCAGGATGGTGAAGTGCAAAGTTGCTGCTGACTAGAGTTACCTGAAAACTGGTTCTAGAGAATTGGGGGACCTTTCAGGTGGCTTTTCAGAGGGTTTGGGAGGGACACAGTTGGGAAGAATTAATAAAAACTTCTCTATCCAGTATTACTTCAAATGATTTCCAGATCAAACAAAATTACTATACAGATTGTTCTGCCATTGGATACCTGAAGGAGCGCCTCTTCCCTTACGTGCCCTCACGCCCCTTAAGATCTGCAGGAGAGGCTGTGCTCTGGGAGCCCTCTTTAAAGGAGATGAAAAGAACAACTACCTGGAGCAGTGCCTTCTCTGCGGTGGTGCCCAGATTATGGAATGCGCTCTCTGGAGAGGTGTGCCTGGCGCTGAGTTTATATTTTTTTCAGTGCCAGGTTAAAACCTTTTTATTTAATTGCTATTTTAAAGATTAATATTTTATCGTTAACAGTCGCTCTTTTGTTTTTTGTTTTTGTTTTTATATAATTTTATGGAATCTGTAATTGTTTTTAATTGTGCGTGCTGTGAGCCGTCCCGAGATCCTGAGGCATGTGGTGACGGCATACAAAAGTTTTAAATAAATAAATAATAAATAAAAATTGTCTAATGGTATATTCTGTTTCTGGATCTATCCATGCACATTCTCCAGGGAAGCTTTTCTACTTTTATATTATATACAGAATTTTGCCTTTGTTTTCACTACTTCAGAATTCAAGACTTGGAGCCACAGACAAGGGAGCTAAAACGTCCTGCAGGTCAGGGGAGCACTTTCTTACATCTGCCAGGCCTTTGTCCTGCATTGTTGCCTACTGTGTGCTAGACTGTTGCTCCTCCTGTTGGAAGAAGCTGGCTAGAGGAGAAAATCTCCCCTCGAATTAATACTTCTAGGGATGTAACTTCATAGTTGAATGTAGCTTACTCTCTCAGTTGTCTGCTGGGTATGGATGTTCATGAACCCCTCCCAATAATTCTTTAAAATGTAATATTACTTGGCATTGATGCAGTTAAATTATTAAAAGGTCACTACTAACACAACTATCCAACACCATTACTTATTTATTTAACAAAACCATACTACTGTATGGTTCTAACTGCACACTTCCGCACAGCTTGTATTGCTGAACAGCTGTCAGTATGACAGTACTCATATAATTCACGAAGAAGTGAGTATGTGGGTGTAGCATGAGTGCATCAGTACAAGGCATGTTGAAACTTGGCATTAGATGCTTTTTGGAAGCAAAGGGATATTTAGCAGCCTGCAGATCAGTTTGGAAGAAGAGACTTGGGCAGAGAAGTCAGAAGAATACATTGCCTATTTAGGCCTGCTTGTACAAAGAAGTGGAGCTGTTGCAGGTCACAGGGATGAGGAAAAGTCACAATCAGAGTGACAACAGAGCATGACAATTGATACAAGGATAATCTGGTTTCAGCAGGACTTGACCGTATGAGGGTCTTGTAGCTTAGGTTCTCATGAGCCGAAGTTAACCCGATTTCCATATCCTTCTGGAAGAAGCCTGCTGGGTCAGGCTTCTCTGCCTGAAAAGTATTGGAACAAATAATATCCTTAACTATTTGCAAATTAGCTGTCAATTGATTCATAGTCATCAGCAGTAATGTAGAAAGAAAAATTATATCCAATCTGTATTGCTTTATTTAATAAAAGAGTTCAGTAAGTAAGGATTGAAGTAATCAATAATAACCATAATGTTTTGACCTAAATGGATGAGACATTGTCCTGAAAAAGTTTGAGATCTAGGCAGTAGGGGAAAAACCTACCACTGGATGGGTTTGCAATCAGCTGCAACAATGCTGACAGACGTTTTCTTAAATATTCTCTACTTTCCCGTTTAAAATCTTAATGTGGCATATATACAACATACAGGATTTCTCATCCATATGCACTAAATCTTAGAACTTTTACTGGTGTTGAGAATGGAAAGTACATAGCTCAAAACACGCACAAGTGTTTAGTAATTCAGCATAATATTTAAATGTTTTGGTGTTTCTCTGTATGCCACAATGACTAATCTTACTCTGTTGAAATTGCATGGCAGAGCATGCCTTTATATTAAAGCCAGTTCTTAATGCAAGTCTGGTGATAACCAGAACCACCTTTTCTTTCCCTTATCTCATAAGAAGGCAGAACTGTGACTGAGAACGTAGATTCCCGCTCCATCCAACTTGCTTGTTTCCCTGACATAAAGGCATCTGGGATGCACCTGACCAAGTGAGAATACAACTGTTTTGAAGACAGACCCTTCAGTAATAGATTTAACCATAGCTGCTTGGACTTCAGTAATTAATGGTCCATAAAGAATCTTCAAGCCATACAACAGAAACTTGGTATTGGAGAGTATATATTTACTGGTTAAATAGTCTAAGGGATTACCATGCTTTCATTATGCTAAGGCATATATTTATGATATCATAAATATTCCTAACTGCATGCAAGTTAATCGCCAAAGCTGTAATGCAAATAGCAATAGTCGTATTGTTAATACAGTAAGATCTAAATTTCTTTTAATCTAATAACAGAACATCATATTCACCTAAAAAAAGAGTGTGGTGGACAAAGCTAGCATTAGTATATTTAATGGATTTCTTCTTCCTTGGTTGTGTTTGTGTAACCTGATCAAGTCTTTCTTTTCTGTGCCACTGACCTCAACCAATATTTTGGACCATATCTTACTCCTATGCCAAGCTTCAGCATATAACTTTAATAAGGGTGCCACCCAATGTAGCTTAAATGTCCTATTGACTTCAGAAGCACCCTTTTGGAAGCTTAGTTATCGTAATAATTTCACTGTTAGTTCATGACCCACAGTACTGATCACATCTTCAATAAACTCATTTGTTTCACACAAAATAACATACATTTCATTACTAAATAATCTTTGTATCCCCTTCCTTGCATTTCTGCAATGTATATATTCATGGCAAATCCAGTGTTACTGTTTCTCACTAAACTAGGCCTTACAGCATTTACTTGTATAGAAATTGCATCTTAAGTTGGTCCCATGATCACTGTTCAATAGAAGCAAACTCTTCGTGAGAAAGTAATTTTTATATGGAATGCACATTTAAGCATGTTTAAATGAAACATCAAGAGACAGAAGCCTTACCATTGCCTCTTGCTGAAGTTTTAGTATCATCAAGCTTGTTTACTAATGTGGTCCTTAAAACTGAAGCTACTACCTAGAATAGTTAATATTTCTGATAGTGTTTTCCTGAAGATCATGTCCTTGCTATGAGTCCTTTCTTGTCAAGCAAATTTTTACTGTTAAAACCAATACTCTGGTTACCCCACTTTTGCAATGCATCTTTTTCAGCCCAATAGTATTCATATTTACTTAGATGGTCCACTGCACTTTCATGAAAAGGTGCATTGCATTGCAATCTAAATAAAAAGAATTGCTTTTTGTGAGTTTATTGATAGAATCCTATAGGTTCAACCTGAAGCAATGTAATTGCTTAACAAGAGTAAATCGGGGTTGAATCAGACTGCGTTTGTCTCCTGGACTCAGCAGAATGGATTCCCCCATCTTTATGCATCCCCAGAGGAAGCAGATTTTGAGGCAGTGTGTAGGAGCTACGAAGGGGAGAAAGTACAGGAAAGTCTTGTTATTTGAGTCTGCTCATGCAGTGTTGGATGAAATCCTGGATAACAAAATCTTAAACCAGGAATGCAGAGGTCTTGTCAGCCCAAGGACCTGATTTCACCATGGAGAAGTTCTCAGGGACTATATTCTGGGGGATGATGAATTAAAGGTGAAAAAGTTTGGTCCAAAACCAGCATATTTTAGTTTACACATTAAAAAACCTTTTCTTAGTACAGAATGTCACCTTGAATAAAATTTAATTGAAAAGCTTGCACTGGATATTATTTTCTGTTACAATGCAAGTTTCCAAA